TATATAATATATATATTTGTTTTATTAAGTTGCATAAAAGAGTATTTTGCTCAGCATTAATTGACCATCACGAATTGTTGCTAAGTTTCTAGATTTATATCTCTAAAGGGAGTCCATTCACTCAGCAGTTTTTTCTTCTGTAAGATGAATACACACTTGTTTAATAAATTTGTGTCTATAATTCAGGATATCATCTCCCTTCTGAAAATGAAATTACAGTTCCTTTTAAAGAACTTAAAAGTGACTTTCACATAGCTGTAACTAGAATGTTTTTATGTTGGTTTGAAATTGACTAAGTTGCTTTATTTTCTCAGTGCTGGTTTGTTAGCATAATTTGACTAAGTTGCTATTTTTTGACAGTCTGACATTTAATTATTTTAATTTGATAACAGATAAAATAATGATATTTAAAAGCAACGACAGGTGATATTCTAATTGATAGGAATATTCAGTCCCTTAATTAAAGCTAGTGTACATTTAGTTATGTGGATGGAAATATATAAAAAAAATCAGCTTGTAAAAAAAAACACCTTATTAGTTATGTCTCCTGCAACTCTCTTTCCTGATCATTTGAGAGTTCAAAAAATCTTAACATGCTTTTATGGATATGTATGGAAGACTCTCTAATGCTTATTCGCGTTGAGAGGAGCACAGAGCCACCAAAAGAATAAATAGTTCTATTTGTAGATCAGAAAATGAAATCATTTATCTGCCATCAATGTGGTTTTACAAAATGAAAACTGATTTATATACGCTAATAAAAATTAATTAGTATTTGATTTATTGTTGTTTTTTTTTTGCTTATTAGTATATCATATTTAGAAGACATTTTCCTTGAGTATATGGTAACTTCTATAATCATTTTCAACTGATGATACCAACTTTTTGTCTCTTTTCTAGGTTTCCGAAAAATAAGTTTAGACGACCTTCGGAAGGCATACATCGTCAAGGACGTTCAGCAGTATATCCTGCATCGTCTGGATCAAGAAGAAGCTTTGCGGCAGCACCTCACAAAGGAAACTGCAGAGATGCTAAATCAGCTGCACATTAAAAGCAGCGGATGCTTTCTTTATCTAGAACGAGTTCTAGATGGAGTCGTAGAAAATTTTATTATGTTAAGAGAGATCCGTGACATCCCAGGAACTCTAAATGGTCTATATCTCTGGCTGTGTCAGAGACTTTTTGTAAGAAAACAGTTCGCGAAGGTTCAGCCTATTCTGAATGTGATTCTCGCAGCTTGCCGACCTTTGACTGTAACGGAATTGTATCATGCAGTATGGACCAAAAACATGTCCCTAACCTTGGAAGACTTCCAACGCAAGTTAGACGTCCTCTCCAAACTTCTTGTTGATGGACTGGGAAATACTAAAATACTATTTCACTATAGTTTTGCAGAGTGGCTTCTGGATGTGAAACACTGCACTCAGAAGTATTTATGTAACGCAGCAGAAGGACACAGAATGTTGGCTATGAGTTATACCTGTCAAGCCAAGAATTTAACACCATTGGAAGCCCAAGAATTCGCACTGCACTTAATTAATTCAAACTTACAGTTGGAGACAGCTGAATTAGCCCTGTGGATGATATGGAATGGCACACCTGTCAGAGACTCCCTGTCGACCTTAATTCCCAAGGAACAAGAAGTGCTACAGCTGCTGGTCAAAGCTGGAGCTCACGTCAGCAGTGAGGACGATCGCACCTCGTGCATAGTCCGTCAGGCCTTAGAGAGAGAGGATTCCATTCGGACCTTATTAGATAACGGAGCTTCAGTCAATCAGTGCGATTCCAACGGGCGAACGTTGCTGGCCAACGCTGCGTACAGCGGCAATCTGGACGTGGTGAACTTACTCGTGTCTAGGGGAGCCGATTTAGAGATAGAAGACGCTCACGGACACACGCCACTTACCCTAGCTGCTAGACAAGGACATACCAAGGTGGTCAACTGTTTGATTGGGTGTGGAGCCAACGTCAATCACACCGACCAGGATGGCTGGACGGCACTGAGGTCCGCGGCCTGGGGCGGTCATACTGAGGTGGTGTCTGCACTGCTTTACGCCGGCGTGAAAGTGGACTGTGCGGACGCCGACAGCCGCACGGCCTTGAGAGCAGCAGCGTGGGGAGGACATGAGGACATCGTACTGAACCTGCTGCAGCACGGTGCTGAGGTCAACAAAGCCGATAACGAGGGGAGAACGGCGCTGATAGCGGCGGCATACATGGGCCACAGAGAGATCGTGGAACACCTGCTGGACCACGGGGCCGAAGTGAACCACGAGGACGTCGACGGCAGGACCGCGCTCTCGGTAGCTGCGCTTTGTGTGCCCGCAAGTAAAGGACACGCGTCGGTCGTTAGCCTTTTAATCGACCGGGGCGCTGAAGTAGACCATTGTGATAAAGACGGCATGACTCCGCTGCTGGTAGCTGCCTACGAAGGACACGTCGATGTGGTTGACTTGCTTCTGGAGGGGGGAGCAGACGTGGACCACACGGACAACAATGGTCGGACACCCCTCCTGGCAGCGGCTTCCATGGGCCACGCTTCCGTCGTGAACACGCTTCTGTTCTGGGGCGCAGCCGTGGACAGCATCGACAGTGAAGGCAGGACCGTCCTCAGCATAGCCTCCGCCCAGGGCAGTGTCGAGGTGGTACGGACTCTCCTGGACAGAGGGTTAGACGAAAACCACAGAGACGATGCTGGGTGGACACCTTTGCACATGGCAGCTTTCGAGGGTCACAGATTAATATGTGAAGCCCTTATTGAACAAGGTGCTAGAACAAACGAGATCGATAATGATGGACGGATACCTTTCATATTAGCTTCGCAAGAAGGTCATTACGATTGTGTTCAAATATTATTGGAAAATAAATCCAACGTTGATCAGAGAGGCTATGACGGGAGAAACGCACTGCGGGTCGCCGCACTAGAAGGGCACAGGGACATCGTTGAATTGCTCTTTAGCCACGGAGCCGATGTTAACCACAAAGATGCTGACGGCAGGCCTACCCTTTATATTTTGGCCTTAGAAAACCAGCTTGCGATGGCTGAGTATTTCTTAGAAAATGGTGCAAATGTAGAAGCGAGTGATGCGGAAGGAAGGACGGCGCTTCATGTTTCCTGCTGGCAAGGCCATCTGGAGATGGTCCAGGTTCTTATCACCTACCACGCAGACATTAACGCCGCGGACAATGAAAAGCGGTCCGCTCTGCAGTCTGCGGCCTGGCAGGGCCACGTAAAAGTGGTGCAGCTTCTGATTGAGCACGGTGCCGTCGTCGACCACACTTGCAATCAAGGTGCAACTGCGCTCTGCATCGCAGCCCAGGAAGGGCACATTGAGGTCGTGCAGGTTTTACTAGAGCACGGTGCTGATCCAAACCATGCGGATCAATTTGGACGCACTGCTATGCGTGTTGCAGCCAAAAATGGACACTCCCAGATAATTAAATTATTAGAAAAATATGGTGCATCTAGTTTGAATGGCTGTTCCCCATCTCCCGTTCACACAATGGAGCAAAAACCTCTACAATCGGTGTCTTCAAAAATGCAGTCGTTAACAATTAAGTCGAACAGCTCCGGCAGTACTGGCGGAGGCGACGTGCAGCCTTCGCTGCGGGGTTTACCCAACGGGCCAGCTCACGCATTCAGCTCTCCTTCAGAATCTCCCGATTCTACAGTGGATCGTCAGAAGTCATCGCTGTCAAATAATTCCCTGAAAAGCTCAAAAAATTCATCTTTGAGAACTACTTCATCTACAGCGACGGCTCAAACAGTGCCAATTGACAGCTTTCATAACTTGTCGTTTACGGAACAAATTCAGCAGCATTCTCTGCCACGCAGTAGGAGTCGGCAGTCCATCGTGTCCCCGTCCTCCACAACGCAGTCCTTGGGACAGAGCCATAATTCACCAAGCAGTGAATTTGAGTGGAGTCAAGTGAAGCCCAGTTTGAAGTCAACGAAAACAAATAAAGGGGGGAAATCAGAAAATGCCGGCAAACCTGGGTCAGCTGGGAAAAAAGCTAAACAAAATAACTCTACACAGCCAAAGGTTTTAGAATACGAAATGACCCAGTTTGACACCAGAGGGCCTGCAGCCAAGTCGGGCCCTAGCGCGGCGCCTAAGCAGACGCCCGCAGAACCTCAGTGCAAGATCATGGTACCTTCAGCTCAGCAAGAAATCGGTCGATCTCAGCAGCAGTTTCTTATTCACCAGCAAAGTGGGGAACAGAAGAAGAGAAACGGGATAATGACAAACCCAAATTACCATCTTCAAAGCAACCAGGTTTTTCTCGGTAGGGTGTCCGTCCCGCGGACAATACAAGATCGGGGGCATCAAGAAGTGCTGGAAGGGTACCCTTCCTCAGAGACGGAATTAAGCCTTAAACAAGCCCTGAAGCTTCAGATCGAGGGTTCTGACCCCAGCTTCAACTATAAAAAGGAAACACCGCTCTGAAAGGTAACAGTTCATCAACACAATGAAATGTCAAAAGTCTAGTTCCCGCTACTTAAGATGCGCTTTTCCCTAACATCCCCATGGCCAGTCCCCTCTCCTAATCACGAGTAAGTGCCGTCTTCTCCGCGACACCTCCTTCCCTTATCACTCACTGGGATTTGAATTCTCCCACCTCCCGCACCCTGTCCCGTCCTTTTGTTATCCAAAGTACTTATTATTTAACATAGTTTACATGTTTTATTTATTACTATGTTTATTATTTGTCTCTTCCCTACTTAGATGTAAGCTTTGTGAGAATAGGGTTTTTTTATGTTTTGTTCACTGCTATCTATATTCCATATCCTTAGGAAACTACTGCTGGGACCTATAGTAGTTTCTCGGCAAAAATGTATTGAAAAAGTTGGTGAGTGAATGAATGAATGAATGAATGAATGAATGTACTATTTATGGATCTCAGATTAAAAATTCCTTCCTATACAGTCAATTTCCCTCTTAAAAATTCTTTGATGGTAACAGAGGGAGGGGCTATTTCTGTAATACTCACTTCTTGGTTTGAATAAAATAGTGTACCTAGTGCTTAGTCAATAGTTAATAAATGTTAATTTCCTTTTCACCCTGAAAGAAGTCAAAGATTTAATCAGCAAAAGGTAATTTGTACTATGAAAGATCTCTTAAGACTTCTAAGCAAAGACTGCACAGGCCAAGAATAGGTGTTGAAAAGATGATAAATTGATATGTCGGCCAGAGAGTTTTTAGGGCTCACTATATTTAGACATAAGATTAAATGTTTAAACCTCAAAGTCATATTTATTAAATAAAAACATTTTTTCTTCTTTCTGCCTCAATGGATGCTTTATTAATTATATAAGTGAAGTTAATGGTAAATAAATACATAATTTTATATTATGAATACTTTTTTAGAAGCACATTTCTTATACTGGAGATATATCAAAGACTTCATTAGGAATCTGCTCTAACTTTTACAAGTATGTTTATCCCGTTTTGCTTAATTATTTTATCCTCTTAACAAAATTGTACTCTTTCCTTGTAGCAAACCCAAATCTTTGTCTGTCTTTGGAGATATATTTTTGGGATATTTTAGGTGAAACACTGTCATAAATAAATTTCTATACTTTCTAATAATAAACACCCTTCAGTGTGAATCTAGGGACAACTGGTCAAATCTCATTCAAAAATAGTTTGTATAAATTAATTCACTCTCCGATGTGATTTTATTTTTAAAATATTCAGTTCTAATGGTGCAACCCTCTGACACTCCTGATATTTTTTGTAAAGGCAAAGTGTAAATCTGTATATTAACAGCAGAATACATAAATTAAGATGAACATTTTATGGAATCTTTAAAAATGATTAAATAATGAATCTCTAATAGATGAGTATACTTTGAGCTTTACATAGTAAATATATGTATTCTTAGGATCTTAAAATTCTAATATAAGTATAATGTAGAAATTAATACTTTTTTTAACTTTTGCATTAGTTTCCTATTCTGTGAAACAGAAGACTTGTGATTGGAGTGATTCTTCAGCTACTGGATGAAAACATAAAATGCCTGTTGATTGCTGAAAAAAATGAAGAATGTGATATCTGCAGTACAGTTACCTTAATTACTGTAACGTGCCTAAATAGTAAGGCTGCCTTCTCAATGTAACCCTGTGTGCTTAAAACTTTTTCATTTTGTGTGCTTTGTATTCACTACACAAGAATAAGCACTTTTTTTTTAAATGCAGATATATACTGCAGTTCCTTGATAAAAGCTGAAAAAATTTTTGAGTAAAGTATTTTAAGTTAAGATTTGATAAATGTGCATGTGCCATGATCAAATATATATAAAAAGGCAGTGTTCTTTGTATTTATTTTTTTCTTTTTGTGGCAAAGGAAACGTAAGCCTACTGTTTCGGTCACATTTGCATTGCTGTAGTGTATGGCTTGTTTCTTGTATCTTTAAAAATGTCGCTCAATAAAAGTAAATCACGCAACTATTCATATTCACTACATCTTCAGCACTGGTTAAAAATGAGTTCCTATTTAATGGCCACATTGAGGTGAAAACATGATTTAATGGCAGATTTAAAAAATAATATTTCTAGTATTTCGGGGAGCTGCTCTAAGTAGTTTAACCTGGCATTTCCCAGTAGAATCCTGATCTCTAACTAAAGCTGTCAAAAAAAAAAAAAAAGACTCCAGGCAGAACAAAGTTCTGTTTCATTCACTGGGTGCAATTTCACCTTCCACTCACTTGTCACTCCATCTCCGAGAAGACAGACTGTCATTCCTGAGGCATGAAAATTCTCAGGGACAAAGCCATGCCTCAGCGGCGTGTGTGTGCAGAGGGAGATACACCTGTCTACCTGAGGGTAGATTTTTGATCCCTGAACAGTTCACTGACAACCCTTATCTCCTCCGTCCAGTTAAATAAAATATGACTTACCAGTGTCAGTTCAGTGCCAGCTTCTTTCTCACAGTTTGTCTTGTTAATCACTGCACGATGAATATGGCCCCCACTCAGAATCAACTGGGTCAGTTTTAGTGGCTAGTTGGACGCATACTCTTGCTGAATGTTAATATGTGCTGTCCTCAGATGACGCCACTAACCTGTCATAGCACACGTGTGCTTTTCACTGGTATTGGATAAACAGCAATTTTTGTCCATATACTCTTTCTTGTTTTCTTCTTTGGACAATTGCTTGCAGGATGACTGGATGCCAGGGTTAAGGGTGAAGTCTGTGACCACGGAAAACAGTTGACTGTCTCAGATGAGCGTGTGACCCACGGCCTTGGCCTCCCAGTGGTCTCTAACCCACTGAGGCCAGTTTAGGGGTGTGTGTGTATGTCTGGAAAGGTTACAATGTATTTAGAAGCCAAGGTTGTGCTTTAATCTTTGCATAAGACCCGAGAATCTTACAAAACCCAGAAATTTTATCCTTTCCATGTATTGTTGATAAGGAAGGGGAATGAGGAAAGAGACTTTGGAGATTCAGCACAAAACCACTGCTACCACTGGAAAAGAATCTTAGAAAATGTCTTAGTAACAGAGGTCAGTAATGTCATCGTCATATATGAAGGACCCATGTGATGCATTGTTCACAGAAACGTGATAAGTGTTTCTCTTGAATCTATGTGTAAAGCTTTTATTTTTGCTTTTGTTTTTTAAAGTCAGCAAAACTCATTTTGTTTATGTCATCAATAAGTCATTATCAGGAATAGGAGATAAGTTCAATTGATAATAAGGTGACATGGCAATATTGATAACTCGAATGTGAATGTTTCAAGTATTGAATTTTTGTCCCTATGGGACATTTATTAAATACACTTAATAGGACTCTTGCAAAGCAGCCTTAAAAGTGTTTATGATTCTATTAATAAATATGAACACATGCTATTGTTAGAACCAGTCACACGTATCTCAAGTACAGTACATTTATAATACTGTAGAAGATGAAGCTCTAATTTCTTATTAGGTGTATTTTTTTTTTTTTTTTTTAGAAAGAGAAGCCTAAAAGCTGCCAGTTTTTCTATTAACCTTGAATTATTGGAATTGTATTTATTTAATTTTATTGTTTTTTTTTTTTTTACAAAAATGCACCTTGTGGCCAAAGGGCAAAGATATGACTCATTACATAAGGGATTTATGTTTTTCAAAGAGCTAAATGTTTTCATATCCACTTGAAACAGTTGGTAGGAAGAGAACCTGTTTGAAAAAAATACGATTTTCAAAAGTAAGTACTCCTCTGGATGTTTTTATATCACATTATGTTTTGGAATAGGACAAAAATGCCTTTTAGTGGGGCTAGGGGCGACAAGGTGCTGGGATGCCTGCTTTGCCAGTTTCTTTCTGTGGGAGATTTAATATGACTGAAAGTGACTTTTGCTCCATTAAGGACAGTAAAAATCATCCCCCAAATAGAAAACTCCTAAGTAGCTATTTTAAGAATGAAAATTTAAATTTTATAAATCACCTGACGCACTACACCTGTGAGGCCATGTGCTTAGGACACTTAGAATCCACCTGTGTCCATCCCTAAAGGATGAGCTGATAATAAGGGAAGTGATAAAACATATAGTAATGAAACATAAAAATCTGAGTGCTGGTAGGAAAGGTTCTGGAAGAAAAACTGGCCAGAACTCGGTGTGTCCTGCAAAGTACGGCTATGTGTTTGCCCCTCACCCCCACCCCTACTGGAATCGTCATCAAAAACAGTTCAATACTTAAAAAACAGGAGTACTTTTCTCAATATTGTCTAGCTATGCAAGTGTTTGTTTGGCTTAATGTCCTCCATTTACACGTCTCAGCAAATGTAGTTGCAAACAAATGCTTTCTTTTTATTTTTCCATTTGTTTGGGGTATGTAAATAGCCTAAAATGTACATTGAACTTCACATTGTAAAAGTTTATTTTATTCCTTGTATTATATTAAGCAAAAATCCCTATGTATATGAAAGTGCATAATAAATATATTTGCTTTACAGAGGATATCTTGTTTTAACTTTATTCTTGAGCCAATAAAATATGTATGATGTGCTTACAATCAAACAACTGTTAGTTGTTTTGAGTTAGTTATTATTTCAAATAAATACTGAGCAAATGAATTTGCAAACATTTTACTAGGAAAAAATGAGATCTAAATATTTTCCAAAGGAAGGTAGAAAAACAAAAAGATCTAGCCTATAAATCTTCCTAACGCTTCTATAAGGACACGATATACGTGCGTTTTTCGAGTGGATAACGTACTAGATCTTACCATGTCAGGTTTCAGGACTCTGAAACTGCGGTAATCCAGCAAATTGTGTGCATGCATGCTCCTTGGTCATCAGAATATTACGGACATCCTACGTTTGATGTTTTGGGGTTTTATTGCAAACATGGGCATTCATTTTCTAAATAAATTTCTATGTATTCTTCCCTCGGTAAACTTGAGTCACTTCTTCATGACCCACTTCCCCTACCCGAGTGCGCGCGCGTGCGTGCGTGTGTGTTTGCGCGTGCGCACGCTCGCGCTTTAGTCCAAAGAGAGGCTTATAAAAAGGCTACCGAGGAATTTTGTTAGGTAAATTTTATGATAATTACATGGTTCTGCAGTAACTACCTTATATACTCTATAAATTTGCTGGAGTAACAGAAATCTTATTCTAAAAACTTTTAATGTTTAAACACAAATGGGTGATGTACATAGGAGAATTTCAAAGCAGACTGGCTGACTAAGTAAACGGAGTTTTCTAGGTGGTGGTCCATGGGAATACCCTGAGAACCTGGGAGTGACTCGTTTTCCCTCCTGGCCATAGCAGCTGGAAGGAGTCCAGCTAAGAGCAGGGAGATGCACACTGAAAGCTGATTCTCGAGTTCCTGGGAAAATCTCAGTCATCATGTTACATGCACTCATCTTATTTTCAAGAGAAGGGCCTCTGCTCGTCTCTTGCTATTATAGTAAAATTAAAATTATCCAATATTAAAATGAGTCATTTGAAATTTACTGCATGTTTAGATTTATACTCTTAAATAAAACACTATCATCAATACACTGACAAAATTTAGCTAAATTCTGAGAACCATATTCTTAATATATTTCTAACATTTAGAAGACATCCCCTATGGATTTATAGCTGTTACTTATTCTAGGTCTATGTGAGTAAAAATTGATATAATGGTATGTCCCAAAAGAAATGATGCTATATTATTAATGTGTCCGGTACTCCCATTTTGTTTATAAAGTTATGGTGAACTATAACATACATAGGAAAATACACAAATCCTGTTACTGCCCTATACATATTTCCACATCGAACATAGCTGTTTAAGCATCACCCTGTTGAAAATGCAGGCACAGCTGCACTCAGAACCTCTGAGCCCCTCAGACATCATCCCCCAAAAGAAAAAACCCCTCTTCGGATCTGACGACTATACATTAGTACTATTTTTTAAAAATTTTATATAAATAGAATCAAACTATGGCCCTTTTCTGCTGGTTTCTTTCCCTTAACATGTTTGTGAAATTCACTCACTTTGTATAACCCTTTTTCATTGCTATATAGTATTGTTTATCTTTTTGAAACTGTTGTATTCTGTTGTGTGAATATGCCATCCTTTTAAAAATTCATTTTACTCCTAGTGGGCATCAAGATTGTCTGCAGTTTTTGGATCTTAAGAATACTGCAGGCAATAACTTGTTGTACATATTTTTGTGCCCATATACATACACTTCTTTATATTTGCCTGTCCCAAGGTCATGACTGTAGTCTAGTTGTTTTCTTCTAAAAGCTTTATTGTTTAATAATAGCATCTATTTTTCAGTGCATTTTAGTATCGCCTTTGTCATAAACCAGGTATCCTTATATAGGTGGGTCTTTTGTTCTATTCTTGAGCCAATATCAGACCCATTTAATTACTGTGGTTTTATAAGCAGTTTTAATATCTGCCGGTGTCCTCCTACCTTTTCCTTCAAGATTGCCTTGGTTCCTAGCATTCTGTCTTTCCACAGAACCGAGAAAACTGGCTTCTCAATTTCACTAAAGAAAAAGAAACTTGCCAAGATTTTTTATTAAAATTGCACTGAATCTACAGATCACATTAGAGTTGGGTGAACTGGTTTGTTTATACATTTAGTCTTCCAATCAATGAATTTGTTATATCTTTCATCTACTTAGACCTTTATTTTCAGTAATGTTGCATAGTTTTCTGTGTAGAAGTGTGTGCATTTATTAGATATATTCCTAGGTAATTTATTTCTTTTGATGCTGTTGTAAATGGTATTTTTATTTCATTTTCTATGTGCTGCTATATAGAAAAATACTTTATCTCAGTATATTGATCATTTATTCAGAAGTCTTGCTGAATTTATTTTTTAAGTGAGATCTAACTTAAAATTCACATTTAAAAAGGAAGTTTGATGAGTTTTGATAAGTATATACAACATAAACACCACTACAATTGAGATGTAGACTATTTCCATCAGCTCATAAAGCTTTTTGTGCATGCCCCTTTAAAATCAATTCCCTCCTGTCACTCCAGCCTCTGGAAACCACTGGTCTGGTTTCTTAATTGTTTTGCCTACTTGGAAATGTTATATAAATAAAATCATATAGGCACTACTGTACGTGGCCAATTTCACTTAGCATGCCGGTTTTGAGATCTATCCACGTTGTAGCACGTATGACTAGCATGGCTTTTAATGCTCAGTGGTATTCGGTGTTCCACGATACTGCTGCACCCAAAATGTTTATCCATTCTCAAGTTCATAGACATTTGAGTTGTTTCCAGTTGTTGGCTAGTATAGATGATTTTATGAGCATTTGTGTTTAGGTATTTGCGTCAGCGTACGCTTTCATCTGTCCTAGGTAAACACCTAGGAGTGGAATTGCTGGGTTGTGAGGTAAATTTATGTTTACGTGTATAAGAAACTAACGAAACACTTTAAAAGGTGACTGTACCATTTTGTACTCTCATCAAAAATGGATGAGATTTCCAGTTTCTCTACACTTTCACTCACACTTGATATTGCCAGTCTTTTTCACTGAAATTTTTATTGAGATGGTTGTGAACTCACATTGGGTTCTAAGAAATAATACAGAGGGATCCTATGTACCATGTCTCCAGCGTACTCCCACGGCAACATGGTGTGAAACTGCAGAACAACGTCCCAGGCGGGACGTTGTACGCCCCACCAACCTTACTCAGGTCTCTCCAGTTTTACTTGTACTCATTTGTGCACGCGCGTGCAAACATATATTGAGTTTCATTCATTTTTAGTGCATGTTTGGGTTCCTGTATATACAACAGCCCAAACTCAAGCAGTTCCCTGACCACAAGCAGCCCTTAGGCTGCCCCTCTATGAGCCCACAACCGCGCCCACCTGCTTCCCCCTGAGCCTCTCCATTCCCAGCTCCTGACAATCACTAGTCTCGTCCCCATTTCCATTATTTTACTTCAAGATTGTTACGTAAATGAAATCATAGGGCATGTGTCCTTTTTGGATTGGTTCTTTCACTCAGTAGAACTCCCTTCAGATTGTTCCAAGTTGTGTGTATCGGAAGTCGTTTTCTTCTTTATTGCTGAGCAGTATCCCATGGTTTGTATACACCGCAGTTTATGTGTGCACCCACGGATGGAACGCAACTGTTTCCGGTTTCGAGCTGTTATGAATAAAGTTGCCATCGATGTCTGCGTGTAGGTGTTTATGTGATCGTAGATGTCATTTCTGCTGGAGAAATGCCCAGGAGTGCAATTGTTGGATCACATGGTAACTGTATGTCTAGTTTTACAGGAAACAGCCAAACTTTTCTGGGGCGACCATCGTTTTACATTTTCATCGACAATGTATGAGTGCTCTGATTTTTTCGCATCCTTGCCAGCATTTGTTGTTGTCGTTTTTTATTTTGGCCTTTCTGGTAAGTGTGTAGTATTCTAGAAACCCCCTCTTAACCAGCGCTCCTCTCCTCTGTGCTGTGCCTCCTCCAACCACAAACTGATGGCAGATAAATTCCCTGGAAACACGGCTCTGATCGCAGCACAGACTCTTCGGCTGGCCTTTAGTCTGTCCCTGTGGCACGTCACTCTGCTCATGGTATACTCCAAACCTCGACACCTGCAGTGCCCCTCACTTCTTACAGAACGGCACAGTTAATGCACGGCATAAAGAGCGCTCCGCAGACTGCCTCTCACCTGGCTTTCCAGCTGCTACTTCTCCCGCATCCTCTACCGCTCCTGCCCACTGGACATGCGCCAAACCCTCTGCTCCCATGTCCCACAGACGTACTTGCTACCGCTACAACACTCCGAGCTCCTTCGCAGCTATACTTCTCTACTCACACTGATCTCTGTCCCCACCTCCAAGCCAGAGAGCTCTTCCTTCTAATTACTGTTGTATTTCATATTGCATTTCATGGTTCTTTTTCTGCATTATGCTAAACAGATTGTCTCCTTTTCTCTCGCTGTAATCTCTTGGACAGGAATCGAGTCTTAGTTGTGTTTGTATCTTTTGAATTGTGCATAGTGAGTATTCAACGACTATTCTTTTTACTGCACTTTCTTTTCATTCAGAAACAGCTGTGTAGTGAGAAACATTCAAATTCTGCTATTTTAGGCCACTTGTTAAAACATACTCTTGGCTTAGCAAAACTCAAAGAGCGATCAAACTCAGTACAAAATGGTATCTATTTTCTTGTCACTGATTTCCCATCTGTTCTATTCACTCAGTTTGTATTGAATGTACCAAAAACAGGCAAATTATTCATTAGTTTGAACATATGTAGTTGACTGCTTGATTGCTTTTAACTGATAACCTGACCTGACCTCTTTGTATTAGAGACAATTAAGTTGAATTCAGTTGATTCTTTTAAGAACTTAGTAGCTGTCACTAAAGTCAAGAAGACATATCCATGTGTCCTTTGATCGCGCAGCAAGCATGGAAAATTAGCAGTTTTTAGGAATGTGAAAAGAATAAGTGCTGTTAGCCCCATTCCATGTCACAGAC